ACTTACTTTAATTTTCAATTAGTCCAGTACTAATTGACTGAATACCTGCATTGTTGTTGGTTGATGCTAGTTCACAAATATGAGCATGCTTACATACTAAACTAAGGTGGTGAACATGGTAGGCTAAACAATATACGTGCTAAACACCAGCATGTTAGCATTATCACTGTGAGCATATTAGTATGCTGATGTTGTTGTGCTGATGGTTTAACACATATCACACATTATAACGGGGCAATGTTGGACTAGCGCATTAAATTCAGTAAAGTGCAGAGAACACTTTAAAATCTTCTAAAATTATAGCAAAAAAATATAAAGTGTAGTGTCTTACATCAGACATCTGGCATGACTTGGCCTCTAGCCAAGCAGGGGTAGGGTGGGTTGTTGGGTGCTGTGCTAGCCTTGTTTGCCCCCGCCTCCCACCTCCTCCACTCTGAGTACTGCTGGCAGAGACTGTACAGATCAAAGCATGCTCAGAACAAACCGCAGGCCTTCTCACCCTGCAGGTCTGCACTGAAACGCAAGCAGGGACAACGCAACTAGCCAAAGACAAGAAGAGAAGCCTGTAAAGAGGAGCAACTAGCCACATGGTAGCCAACAATACTGTATTTTTTATTTTCCTTTAGTGCCTTTTATTTATCCCATAAGGGCAAACTGATGAATCCACAAGAAGAGGAACTTCAGCACAAGAACTTTTACAGAATAACATAAACAACAGTTGTGCTTTGGCTTATTGCTACATCAGCTCTGTAAGGTTTAATGTGATGGTGATTTAGTATATATTACCATATAATAACTGAATGTCATATCCAGCTGTAAAATATCCCAATAAGTAGAGATGCAGGGATATGCAATTTCTGGGTCGATAACATGAACTGATAATTATTGATTCAATACCATTACCATTATTCTTGCATTTGCAAAAATGTGAATAGCACAATATAGGATAGATTTTTAGATTGACCAGTGTACTTTCTCACTGTCAGTGCAATCTTTCTAAATAAACTGCAGCCAACCCACCACAGTTGCATGTTACTTGCAAAGTTTGGCAGTCTGACATGCTGACAAGCATCTATCAGTCTGTCACATGGTATTACTTGCTTTTACTGTTTCCATTCATAGAAGAATCACAGCTTTTGTAAGAAATACACATATCAGATTTAATTATTGTCTGAAATCCTATTCTCAAAACAATTACAACAATTAAATGTTTACATATACATTCCTTATTTTATTAATAATGGGGTGTTTTTTTCATTTGTCCTTTGTTTCATTCTCTCCATCTCCCCAGATGGAGTTCTGCTGCTAGCAGGTCGCTGAGCGGTGAGAGCAGGAATGGCACATACTGTAGCCTCAGTGCCTGTCTCTGTACTGTTGCCTAGGCAACTTTGGCAGACAAGCTGTAATGTGTGTTATGTCGATCTCTTGGTTTCTGCTGCAAGTATAACTGCAGTCCTCTGCTGCTGGCCACTGAACATTTCCTGAAGTGTGGAATAAAGTGCATTGCTCAAGGGCACGTATGTGAGAGAAGGCAGGATCAGACCTGCCATTCCCCTGTCAATGACAATACAGGGAATATAGGATATTAAATTGTTAGAAAACAATCTTCTGTTCACTAGACTGCTTCTCTAACGTCTCACATCTAACAGTGACCCAAAAATCTGCACCTTTTCTACAAATTAGCTGTTTCAAAACATCACTTGTGAGATGGAAGATAATTTGGGTGCTACAACAAAATCAAGGAATGTAGTATTAAGGTTCTCATTTATTGTTGCGTAATAGATAAGATATGGCATACATTAGCTACTACACACAGCAACATAGTAGTGAATGACACCATTCAAAAAAGAAGAGCATACAAGTATTGATGGACTTGTGCATCCCCCTCCACATAACTAACATGTTCAATAGTCAGGGATATTTCCATCCACTGACCAAACTCATTATCTGGGTAGGATAAAACTAAGTCTATACTGCATAGTGCAGTATCACAGAAACATGTTTCTGGACCTGTCTCATGTCCTAAAATTGCATAGAGTATTTAACTATTTTTTAATAACAAGAAATACAATTGTGTGCACTGGAAGTTGAAGTTACAATGTATTTATTTTCTGTCAGCAAAACATGTTAATTGCAGTGATACCAAAGGGCCCTGTTTATTTATTCTAGCTATTAAATATATTCTTATTTTTATCTTATCATAGGTGTCATTTACACTGGGGACGCTGGGGACATGTCCCCACCACTTTTTGAAATGGCTGATTTGTCCTCACCACTTTTTTATTAAGTATTATTTGTTATACTTCTATTGAAATATAGCTTGCAGATAAATATCAAATGAAAATGCCTTTAGAAAGGTTTATTTGCACATTAAGAAAACATGCAATGCCATTAAAATATGGCAGAAACAAATGTGCATTGTCCAAAAAAACTTCTTTGTTGCCAAGTTTTCTGTTCTCCCCCTTTGAACATGCCAAAAGAGGAGGGAAGACTAAATCATGTCTACATATGTGTTGCCTCAGCAGGGATGAAATTACATGAGAAAAGTTGATCTACAGGAGAAACAGATCTGAAAGCATCACAGAATGCCTGAGAGCTGCACTGCATTATATTATATTATTTTATGTATTTTGAAATGTCACCTGTCAACTTAATTTTGTGTTTCATAAATAAAATTTCATTAACATTAACAATTCGCATTTCCACCATAAATTCGGTACAGAAACTTTCACCTGAATGCAGGTAAAGAAGTGTTTAAAGATCAAACTTTCCTGTGAGAGGTCCAACCAGATCCCCCTATGTCCCCAACACTTTTCAACACTAAGTGACACCCTTCATCTGGATAGAAAACAATGAACAAACTACAGGGTCAACAAACCTCAGTCTGTGACTTAGACTGACTAAACATGACAATGGCAAAAGGACACACACATGCACAAACACACACACACTGACACTGCATGACATACAGTAGGTCTTGATGTGAGCTAGAGGAGAGGAGAGGCAGGCTAAACAGAAAGTTGTAGATTTCTATTATTTGGTTCCAGTGTACCAAAACTACTGACCACAATAGCCACTTCATCATCCGGATGAGACCGGGCAGGAGGTTACTTTGCATCATTTCAGTCACCCTTCCTCTTTTAAACAACGTTCAGTTTGTTTAGAAGTAAACGGAAATAAATTAGTTGACAGGTGATCTATGAGAAGTCGACTGTGGTAAGACCAGCAGTTAGCTTAGAGAGTACAGATATATCAATTATACTACTTGGGATTAAGATGATAATCCACACTGATCCTGTGAGGATACTGCAACACCTTCAGAGCTGGTAGGCATTCAGAATTCAGATTCAGATTCATAGGCAGAGATGCTTGCTGGCATGAAGCCTTAGTCAGTGTCAATATTATTACATTAAGAGGTATATGTCTAAAATGTGAGATGCCTTATTTTCAAAAGAAATTCTTACTTTATATTTTTTTCACCTTCTGGGCATTCATGCACACTGACATAGGAACTGAAGTTGTTTTATTGTTGTACACTTTTGATTTATTCAATTTCTGTAATGATCTTTTGTATACTCTGGTGTCTATTTCCATTTGTTGTGATTTGATTGTGACGCCTTCTGTATCTATACATTGCACTGCGCATTAACTAAAGCCTAAAACCCGCCTTACCTCCCAACAACTGCTTTCTTTAACCTACTTTGCTGCATGTGCACCTGTCATTAACCATTTGTCTAACTAATCATGACTAAATATGATTCAGAGGAGATTATATGTATTAGTAATAAGATTTTGTTTACTGTAATATGGTAATCTTATCATTTTAAAATGAGCCTCGGTGTTCATAGATAGTAGAGCTGATCATTTAGTGCACACGTGAATGATTAATGTCATAGGTCATGTTTCACTTGCACCAACATAATCACCCCATTTACTTATACTGATATAGATATTATGATTGTTCAGATTTTATTATGCCATAAGCCTTTGTTTTTTATTACTTCCAGTTAACTGCAACAGCCAAATGCAAGAGCGTGAAGAATCAAGCTGTTGCTAGTTGTTGTTTAGTTCAGGAATCAAGGAAATGTTTTTTATGCTTTTTATTGCTACAGCGGGACTGGCTCTAAATCATCTTCTTCATTAATTATTAGCTGTAAATTTTAGCTTAGCCAGAGCCAGTGTTGTGGTTGTAAATATTATTTTCATCTATCATTTCTTTCACTCCATCCATAGACTCCATCTTCTGGTGTAGAAGAACAGACATCTGGCGTCATCGAGTGCACTGGCATTTGCACCCAGTGCCATCAACAGCCGTTGATAACATGCCAAATCTAATTTCAGTAACAGTATATTAGAACCATATAAGTGGCTCAGGCATAAAACTAAAGAGACCATTCCTTCCAAAAATATGTACATCAACCGTCACGTTGTCCTGTCAAAGATCCCAGATGGGAAGGACAACACTAAGGTATGTACAACAGGCCACTACCAGTGCCAGGTTTGGGGTTTCATTAAATGAATTGTATATGTGGAAATTATCATTATTAATCACTTTCTTGATTTTAGCTGATTCCTTCTGGTAGGTTCAAGGATTTGTAGTCACTTTGTAGCTAGTCCAAGTGTTTGCTGTTCAAATGCACATGATTAAAGAAATAGTTTGACATTTTGGGTAAGAGTTAGACGAGAGAAATTTGATACAACTCTCATGTCCACGCCATAGAAGCCAGTGAAGCTCAATGTGGGAAGATCCTAGCGGCTCTGGCTGTTGCCATCTTGGCAGTGTCTGACTCTGGCTAATCCAAAAATGAGAGGTGGAGCTCAGGCGGGCCAAATGAAGCCTGGTTGCTGAACCACCTAGCAGCTAGCCACCTGAGAAGGCACCCACCTGTCACTCACTGGGTGAGTTCTATATTTACAGGGAGTTATGTGCAGGAGCTGGTGATAAGACTTGACTATCAGCTTATATGTTTCACTCGTTCTCAGTGCTCAGTGCTACTCACCTATGTACAGCGAGGAGTCCTTCCTGTGAACATGGTCATCGATGTACGACACTCCCAGAGGCTGGACAGGTGTGGCTCCAATGCCCAGCAGAACCTGGGCTCCAATCAGCAGAAGGTACATCATGTTGGTGTTGGCCCTGTTGCCACATTTAAACCCAGAGTCTCGGTTTTCTGACCTGGAGGTGTTAGAGCAGACATCTCTGCCATCCTCAGCGTGCCACGAGTCCCCGGCCTCATACTCGTACTGATGAGTCAGGAACTCTGGCAGGGCTGACAGTAATGCCCCCAACGCCATGACAATCCCGCCGCAGCCAATAAGGCGGGGTCTGTGGGCCTTGGCGCCAAAGTAGCTGACAAACAGGATGAGGGCCAGGTTGCCAATTTCGAAGCTGCTGGCAATGACGCCCACATCGGCACTCTGGAGGTTGAAACGTCTCTCCAGAGTGGTCAGAACACTTACCTGACAGAGAGAGAGAGAATTAGGGAGAAAGAGAAAGCAAGTTTTATACAGTGTTTTTACAACTAGTAGCCACTTAAGACTGTATCAACCTGTCAGAAGTACACATTTTATACATTTAAAAAATATTGTGTAATATAATGAGGCAGGGCACTGAGATTAATTTCTTCAGCTATTCAGTAAAAGCAGGTATGAAAGAGCCATCTGCCACAAGAAATCAACAACAGCAACCTGTTGACGACACACAGCAGTTGAGCTGCTTCCAACATCTTCATCACCACACTCCTCCTCCTTTATCCAAAACAACCCTGAGGCTAGCCAGATGCCATCCTGGGAAAAGGTGCATGTGTGTGCTTTAGGCATAAACCTAATGCAGCTGTTCTAATTATGAAACTGACACAAACACATTGTAGCAGCTGTGTAAGTATGAAGTGCTCCATCAAATGTATGCTGGATCATCAACAGGACTGACGATAAAAGGTTGGCCAGGTATTATTTTAAACTTTTATTAATAATTCATCCACAGCAAAAGGTACAGCATAAGCCTGGAGACTTCTTGAAGCAATTCCAGATAAAAAGGAGAATGCAGCCATGACTATGCAAGTGAAATGAGATGGATCACGTATAATATCCATTCATCTTTTCTCTATATTCCTTATCCCATTTATCCTGTCACACTAAATTGCTGCAACCAGCGACCATTTTCATGAATGATTAATCTGCCTATTAATTGATGAATTGTTTAGTGTATAAAATGTTGAGAAAAATCATAATATCCTAAAGATGACAACTTGAATATTCCCCCTGAGGATATTCAATTTACTATCACATAAAACAACCAAAAGCTTAAAATCCAAACAATTGAGAGGTTGGAACTAAGCAATGTTTAGCATTTATAGTTGAAACAATGAATCAAAACAGTTGATAACAAATAGTTTGTTTGTCTATCTTATGTTCTTGTCCTCCAAAAGAGGATGAACTATCTGTAATGCTTCACTCTTATAAGTGCAAGTGCAGTTGTTACTTTTTACTTTGTGTAGGTCATCACTCTGATGAACAGCTTATTTCTGACTCACAGTGTTAGGAACAATTTCTGTGCAATAACCCAGTAACTCTGTCTCTAATCAGCCACCTGTTCACTGGTTACCACTTATTATTTATTCATCATTCTCTATTTCAGTGCTTTTTATACTATTCATACAGTTATATTGTCATATTGTATATACCATATACCAAATCCAGCTACCTCAAGTACATAACAACTGCACATAATGCTTATTTATTCCAGCATCCTTTGCACTATGATCCATCGCACTGCGTACATGAGTACATGGATGTATATGTACCAGTATATCTCATCCACCCCGAAATGTACATAATAATGATAGTAATAATTTTACTCCTGCATCCTTTGCACTCTGGTCACTGCACTATTTGTCAATCTGTCTATATTGTGCTTGTTAATAGTGTGTATATTTGTGTTCTCGATTTTATTTCTCGATTTTATTATTGTGTTATTGTATTATTGTCTGAGTAAGCACAGTGTGAGCACTGTACAATCCTGAGTCAAATTCCTTATATGTGTACACAACCCTGGCAAATGAAGCTGATTCTGAATTTAAAATTTGTTACATATTGACATGTAAATGTCTATCTTGTATGTTTCTTGTGGTTGTCATCTGTAACCTTTTTTAAGCTGCTGTCTCCCTTGTAAAAGAGATCACTGATGTCAACGGGTCTTACCTGGTTAAATATGGGTTAAATAAAATAATTACATAAAACTTTGTGCACTGTTTACTAGAATTATTACAAAGTTGTAATTCACAGTTCCCTGACATTATAAGCTGTGAGGACACAGTTCAGAGGTGACAGAATCTAAACAACAGGGTTAAGATTTACTCTTGTGGCCGTAGAAGATTTATGTATGGCTTCATTCACTGAGAACTGATGGACATGTACATAGTACATGTTTAACATTCCGTATTGAGACATTTTAGTCCAATCCACTTCAGTGTTTACAGACAGTTCAAATTGTTGTAGAGCTTTAGAAAATGGAGAAAAGAGAAAATCTGCCCATTTCAGTCTGATGAATGTATACTAAGCTATGGAAGGCGGTTATGCAAGTGCTGCTGTACTGACAGATCTTCAGTCATTATAGCTTGTCTTCTTCAAAAGTTTCACTGTGATTTATTTGTAAAACAAAATAATGTGCTACTGAAAAAAAGAGGAGAAAATAAAGGCACACTGTGAACCAAGAAAGTGGCTGAATTATAGAGACAGACAACAAAGAATGATGAAAAACAACATTTTATACAGGAGAGGATAGGCAGTGCTTCCACAGTGCTTTTGTCTGCAGCGGAATTTGCTAAACGTGCACTTATGGTTTGGGATGCTGGTTAAAAGGACGTTCCACTGCAGTCTTCAAGGTAAATACTAATGGATTTATATTTGTTACTGGTGCAAAACCCATTAAAATCAACTCGTTTTTATGCCAAGTTGCAGTCTTCACACATGTGGAAGACGTTTTTTTTTAAGGCAAGTTCAAGCATCTTTTTCTGAACAAGGTCTCTTTTTCAACATCTCTATTTGACAACGTACAGGTTAGATTCTGGAGATTAGCTCAGGTCCTTACACAGATTATTTCCATATAATTTTTGGCCTTTTGTTGTTTTTCTCACCTGAACCAGCACGCCAAGGCTGCACCAATAGAAAAGCCACATGTAATGAGAGTCAAGCCACTGACATTATGACTGTGAATGAAGATGACTTGGACAGTTAATTGTTCTCCCCCCAACCTGCATGTGCAGTTATTTATAGTATCAAGACTGTGCTGACACCTATCAGGGGAATTGGCTTTAATTAGGCAAATAATAGACCTGATTAAAGTGGCATCATATTTATACTGATTTACAGTAAGTGGTTGAGCCATCTCTGACTAATGTAGGTAGACATCACCACACACAAATACATTAGAAACTGCTGTGGTTGGCTTTAGACACACCATAAACAGATATGAATACATTAGGTGTTAGGGAAGATACTTCACTTTCACCTCTGCATCAGTGATGGTGCCTGAAATCTTTGCAATTTAAGAGAAAAGTTGCATTTTCTTTTGGCTCCTAAAATCATTTTACCTTTACCGTTATGTGTTCATCTACTGAATAGAGCGTAGCACTTTGACATCCATCTAAGGATATCAATGCATAAAATAACACCTTATTTTTAAGTGACATTGAAGTGTAAATTCGTTAAAAGTGAAAGGAAGCTTTTCCGATAATGAAATTTACGCTATGTCGCTTCTGTTGTGGCGATCACGTCATCTCCTAGGCCTAGGCTATATCCGCCAGTGTCAAAGGCCCCCTGCATTACTGATGCATAATGAAGAAGAACCGGCAGGTGGGATGGAGCTCCTGACCAGTGTTTCGTAACCTGCTCTCCAACAGACCATCCATATACGCATATAAAATTCACCAACAACAACGTGGAGTCTGCGGCCGCTGTGACGCGCTTTGTGTCATGCAGATGGTGCATAGGCCTGATGGATAATACGCAGCAAGTCATCAATCAGTGAAAGCACCGCGTCCCGTGGTTACTGGAGGGTGTGATTATTCTGATGTGATCAGAATAATATGATTATTAACCGTATCGTTACTCACTGTCTGTCTGTGCCGGTTTGAAGGGCGCTGCGTTAACCCGATGTTACCTGAGATAAAGCCTACTGAGATACGACGTTCCTTCAGACCAACCTTGTGTCTGTGCTGTCTGTTCTGTAGAAACTCACCAGATAGGCGCCCACTGTGCCCTGTGCCAACATGAGCGCACATTCCGACACCAGGAAAATCTTAATGTTGGAAAAACACGAGGTCTTCTTCTGGTTGTCATCCTGCTCCGGGTCGTCGGTGCTGCTCCGCTCTGTGCAGATCTGGTTTTTAACCTGCATCCTTCGGCTCAGGCTCCGGTCGGGTTGGACGGCATGAAACTGAAGGGGTCCGGTCCGGCGGAGGGCATCTGGTTATAATGACGAAGTGCACTGCAGAAGAAGTGCGAATCTCTTGTCAGGAGCCCGTCTAGGCTAGAATATACAGCGAGAAATACTGCTGTCCACTCAGCGTTACGCACAGTCCGTCAGCGACCTCTCTTCACCGCCTGTCCAGCCAGTGCGTATCGGCTAATACGTAGGCTACGCATGTAGCCTATATATGACGGCTTCTGAAATCCGACGTGGAACTACAAGACTCTGTTTTCCCACATCCGGGATGTGACATCTCCACTCACGACCGGTACCGACTGGATTTGGTTTCTCAGCCCGGTTCCGAGCCGCAGTTCTGCGTCCTTCAGGCGGGTGTTATTGATGCTCCTCCTCCCCCTCCTCCCATCTATAGGCCTAGACCAAATCACAGTGAGGGAGGTGTAATCTCTCTGTGTTTCTCTCTGTTCTAAACCCTTCTCCCTCAATGTGTTTCCCTACATCATCACTTTACCTTTGCAGCTTAATCATAGCCACAAAAAAATGCAACATTTCATCAGGGCACTCTCTGAAAGATCCCTATAACACACACACTCACAGTGACAAATCAACTGGATCAACATGACACAGCACATCTTTAGCCTCCTTGTCAAGAACAAATGTTGTGTTCTGTACATTACTTTGCAGATTAATACTGCAACAATAAACCAATATCTTTGTGAGATGGGTTCACATTTAACAGTGTCCCTACATCAGATACCATCTTTGTCGGACTTGTCCACTAGTCCAAGGAGGCATTATGTGTTTGGATCTAGCTTTTAGTGTGTTTCGAACCACCACGCCACAAAATTCATATCATTCTGTGTTTTGACACTTGTCTATTTTATTTTCACTATAATGTAATTCACCATGAGATATCCTAGTCATAGAAGAAGGTCACCACTGTCCTCTCCGATTCTTCATCAGTGTCTGGTGAGGTGCAGCGAGACATGAAATTCCACAGCTTCTCTAATGGAGCTGCCAAGTGCTGGAGGTGTAGTAGACTGAGGTGTGTGTGTGTTAAGCAGCTTTATAGTGTAAATGTACAGAACAAAGCTTTGAAGCTAAAAGATGTTGGTGAGGATGCTCAGTCATCACCATGCTCATGATATCCAGAAGTAAGAAGTCAGAAGTGACTGGATTTGCTGTTCAGTCTGTCTTGCTGAAACGCTTTGGCAACATTTCTGCAACATAAAAGCAGCAGACAGTAGAATGTTTTCAGTATGACCGAGAAGATCGACACAGAGAAAAGTCAGGCAGAGGGTTGGGAAGAGCAACAGTGGATGGATGGATGGCTGCTTTATTACCGTTCCATTGTGATACCATTGAATTTCCCCGTTATTAACACTAAGTGCCTATTATGGTTTTATTACTGCTTGTAATTAATCCGTGGTTACACCAAATGCTGCTGTATTCTTTTAATTCCAACATTTTGGATTGTTTTTAAAATGTCATTTTCAAATGTCTCATTCCTAAATATCTGGAATAATCTGAAGGTGAGAGCTTAATTTTCTGGCTCAATATTTAAATCTGTCTCCATGTTCACCTCTGTCTTGTTTGTGTAATGTTTATGTAGAATTCTCATCCCATTGCAAATCCGAGAGATTTGCAATGGGATTTATTTTATTTCTTAGTGGGGTGCAATGAAACAAAGTCACACTGAACCTTTGCCACTCATCATCAACACTGTCTTTAACTTCCAGAGATGATGGCCATTGCCCCGTATATTTATGCAGCATGCATTATCTTGTTATATGTTATGTGGCGTTATGTTATTGCATGTAATAATAATATATAATAATGATATCTTCATGCTTGACTGAAGTGTACTCAGTTAGCTTCAGGATGGTTAAAAATTGAACACTTGCCACACAAGAACTCTATTACACACATCAGCAGCCCACTGTATTGTACTGCTGTAGCTGTTCTACATGAAAACAAGGTAAAGTACTGTGGTATCATTGTGGACAAATGCTCAGGGACCATTACAATCTACACCATATTTATTTTATGATTTTCACTTACTTTACGCTTCAGTATTTTGACACTTACAGTGGTCATTCCCTTCCTTAGAGTGACTAAACGATGAGACAGTGGTGTGCATCTTGTTAAAGGTAATATTTGTACAATGTTCTTAATAGCTGTCATAACTGAAATTGTGGCCTCTGTAACTATTAGCACATCATGCCAGCCCAAACAGTATGCATTGATTGTGTTTCCTTATCTTTGGCAATGTGAAAAATAAAAATTACAAAATTACTTGTATTGCTAGTGCAGTGTAGGCTATCGAGCTACCAATCAAGTGGATGTCATGTAACACGCCACTGTGCTTTGTAAAGTTACTGCCTCCTGGATATCTGGATGTGATGGTTGAATCAGACCAGCAGCACCCCCAATGGGCCCTCGTCTGTAATACTTCCATCAGCTGTACTATGATTTGATGAGAGTTTGATATGAGTTTCATGCTAAAAAAGTAAATACTTTGCTGGTTGTTTTTTGATTTATTTAATCCCATTTTACCTGGTATAAAATGCAAATATTCACTTTGAGTCCTTCCACCAATTCTCATTCATTTAAATTGATACAGCTATATGTGTTCCCCTGTTCGATCTTCTAGTTCTGCCCTTGGTGTGCTTCAACTGATTGCTGAATGAAGTCCACCTGGCCTAGGAAAGAGGTCTTTAAAAGCTCCTGTGCCAGCATCAGAATGGAGAGGCTTTTTAAATTGGGACTGCTGATTTTTCTGCCGCTCAGCCTTGTTTTAAAGTTGTTTTTAAGTGGTTGGGTTGGGTCAGTGTTGGATTATTGTTTGCCCCATACAGCCACCTTAAGGATGGGGCATTACAAAATAAAAAGATATCAAAGGGTTTGTCTGGTTTGTATCGGTGAGTTAATCCGCACTGAAGTTTTTCATGCAGAGGAAATGAAAATGACAGTGAGTGGCAGGACAGAGTGCCACAGAAACAGTAAAAACACAGGGCAAACATCTTCCATCATAACCATGAAATGAGAGAGCACTGAGTGCCAAGGTCACTTACCACTCACCCCACAGCTTTTAGTTCACAATATTCTTCAGGCCATTCAGATGCTCTATCACGACCAATTCAATAGCATCTGAAGCAGCACAATCTATCAGGCAAACTGTAGACTCAGCAGGAACAGCATCCATTTCTCATGGAGTCACTCAGAGTACCCGGGGTGATTTAAGCTCAAACACAGTGCCTGCTGATGCATTGCAAGCCAACTGAAGACATTATTTTAGGATGCCTCTTAATCACAAGGTCCACAGAAAGAAGAATGCAGTCATGCATTTATCCTGTAACAAACAAATAAATTACCAGAAGACAGATGCGAGCAATGTCAGAGTTTATATTTAATGCTAAAACATTTGTAAGTTTTGGCTTTGTCAGAAACAATACGCGCTATGCTAGCTATATAAATATACAATTCCCCTCATCTTTAAGCTCGGGTCCTCTACCAGAGGCCTGGGAGTCTGCGGGTTCTGCACAGTATCTTGGCTGTTACTAGGACTGCACTCTTATGGTCAGAGACTTCAGATGTTGTACCTGGAATCTAGGAGCCACTCTCCCAGTTTGGGGGTCACAGCCCCCAGTGCTCCGATTACCACTGGCACCACTGTTGCTCTTACTCTCCACATCTTTTCTAGCTCCTCTTTCAGCCCTTGGTGTTTTTCGAGCTTCATGTGTTCCTTCTTGTTGATGTTGCTCTCGCTTGGGATTGCCACATCTATCACTGCAGCCTTCCTCTGCTGTTTGTCGATTAACATGAAGTCTGGTTGGTTAGCCATCACCAGTTTGTCAGTCTGGATCTTGGGAGTCCCACAGGATCTTAGCTTGGTCATTCTCAACTGCCTTAGTAGGTGTCTTTTGACCTTGGGACTTCCAGCCCATACTCATGGCAGATGTTCCTGTACACTATGCCAGCTACCTGGTTATGGCGTTCCATGTACGCACTTCCTAGCTGCATCTTACACCCTGCTGTTTTGTGCTGTGCTGTCTCAGGGGCATCCTTCCACAGTCTGTATCTGAGGTCCTACCTGATGTGGTAGACCGCAGCCTCTATTGATCTTGTACTGAGTGCCTGTTGTTGTGCCATATATACATACATAGAGTATGTCGTTTCTGTGATTGATTTGTCAACGAATGTTGAATATCTGCACAAAACAGTAACTCTAGGTACCTCTTCAACTTTCAAATTAAGGGAGTGACTAAAAAAGAACTGTGAATAAATTTTCTGGCCAATTGTCAAAAGGAATAAGAAAAATGTACCGAACAATGCACACAGAGAGGTACCACAGCAATGCTATTTTATAGTATGTAAAAAGTATCCCCAAAATAATAAAAATTTAAGTAATCCATAGAAAAAAAAATCACAAGATTTGACAACACATGACTTGAAAGCATAGCTGTCTATCTGACAAATTTTATTTGGCTTTAAATTTTTCATCTGTAATAAATGCTGGAATTAGAAAAAAATAATATGGCCACAAAAGCATGTGTCATCATTTATCAGGTGGTCTTTTTTAAGCCGAACGAGAAATGCAAAGCACAAAAACAGCAATTGTTCAGTTGAGTACATAAGTACTTTGTGAGCTGTAGCTCATGGGAATCTTTTGAAAGGTGTGTGTCTCTGACTGTGACCTTCTTACTGTCGGTTGCCTGTCGAGTTGATGATAAAGCGACTCAAGGTCATTCCACTCTTGACCTCGAAGGAAATTTCAATAATTAAAAGCATCATTAAAATGACTTGCGCGAGTTACTATTCTATTAGGTAGAGTTGAGATTTACAACCGAATCTGTTTGCTGAACCAGCTACTATTTTAAACAGCTAAATTACTTTCAATGAGATCAGTAGCAGTAAAACATCTCCCAGATGGAGATCTGTAGACAAGTTACTAGTGCACACACAACTTT